CCTTACATTTTTGGGGAGAAGCTGTTAATACTGCATGCCACATAATCAATAGAGTCTACCTTAGACCCAAAATCGATCAGACTTCATATGAGATTCTAAAGGGTAAAAAGCCTACTGTCAAATACTTTCGTATGTTTGGGAGTAAGTGCCACATTTTGCGTGATAGAGAGAACTTGAGTAAGTTTGAATCTAAGAGTGACGAAGGAATCTTCTTAGGGTATTCTTGAAATAGTCAAGCATTCCGAGTATATAACTCACGTACTCGTACTGTGATGGAATCAGTCAATGTTGTGATAGATGATGGTGTGAGTGAGGGGGAGAATGTTGAAAATTATGATAGAAATGGTAATCTTATAAGGTCTAGTGATCCTACTGAACCGCTTGTGCCTGAATCATCTCTTAAAATTCCTGAAACTCCTGAAAAGGAAACACATCCACAAGATCAAGACACAATCCCTAAGGAACCATCAACTAGGGTCAAGTCTAATCATCCTAAGGATAATATCATTGGGGATCTGGATGAAGGTATGAGGCTTCGTAAAAGAGTACTGAACAATCTAGCATATACTAGCTATGTTTCACAGGTAGAGCCTAAGAAAGTCGAAGAGGCCCTTAGTGATGAGTGTTGGGTGAATGCAATGCATGAGGAACTCAATCAATTTACTAGAAACAATGTGTGGATCTTAGTACCCAGACCTGAGAATTGTAACGTTATTGGTACTAAGTGGACCTTTAAGAACAAGACAGATGACCAAGGTACTATAACTAGGAATTAGGCCAGATTAGTTGCTCAGGGTTATACTCAAGTTGAGGGAATTGATTTTGATGAGACTTTTGCCCTTGTTGCACGACTTGAGTCTATTCGGATTCTGCTTGCTGTTGCCTGTACCTTAGGGTTCAAACTACATCAAATGGACGTTAAGAGTGCCTTCTTGAATGGACTTCTTCAAGAAGAAGTCTATGTGGAACAACCAAAAGGATTTGTTGATCCAAAGTTTCCCCACTATGTCTACAAACTCCACAAAGCACTCTATGGTCTGAAACAAGCTCCTAGAGCTTGGTATGAGAGACTTACGTCATATCTTGAGAAACATGGTTTCTCTCGAGGTGGTGCTGATAGGACCTTATTTATTAGACACATTGAAGAAACTATCACTATCGCTCAAATTTATGTCGATGACATCATTTTTGGTTCTCCTATTGAGTCTCTAGCATATGAGTTTACCGAGTGTTTGAAGCAAGAATTTGAGATGAGTATGGTTGGTGAGTTGAGTTATTTCCTTGGACTTCAGGTGAAACAGACTGAGGATGGCTTGTTTATTTCATAGTCTAAGTATGCAAAGGATCTAGTTGAGCGGTTTGGGTTAGATAGTAAGAAGCATACTAGGACATCTATGAGTACTAGCTTGAAGTTAGGTCGTGATTCTTCAGGTAAGAGTGTAGATCCTTCCCTATATCGAAGCATGATAGGTAGTCTTCTCTATCTCACAGCTACTAGACCTGACATTGCTTTTAGTGTTGGAGTGTGTGCTCGATTTCAGGCAGATCTCAAAGAATCACACTTAAGCTCTATTAGACGCATCATTGGATATGTGAATGGTACTGTTGATCTAGGGATTTTCTGTTCTAGAAATTCTAATCTTGATTTGGCTGGCTACTTCGACGCCGATTGGGTGGGGAATGCAGATGATAGAAAAAGTACTTCTGGGGGTTGTTTCTACATGGGTAGCAATCTAGTAGCCTGGTCAAGTAAGAAACAAAATTCCATATCCCTATCCACGGCAGATGCCGAATACATAGCAGCTGGAAGTTGCTGCACTCAGCTTCTTTGGATGAAGCAGATGCTGAGTGATTATGGGATTAATCAAGGGACCATGACTATTTTCTGTGATAATACCAGTGCTATAAATATTTCTAAGAATCCCATTTAACATTCTCGAACAAAACATATTGACATATGACATCATTTTAGTCGTGAACTTGTTAAAACACATGTTGTTTCCTTAGATCATGTTTCTACTGACAACCAATTAGCCGATCTACTTACGAAACCACTAGATGGGATGAGGTTTGAGTCGCTTCGGACGGCTGTTGGTATTTGTTTGCCTATCTGATCATGAATTCATGCATATTCATGCATTTATCATATCTGCATTTATTCATTTCATATCTTGTATGTGATAAATGTGTGTGTGGTGCATTTTGTTTGTTAGTTATTTTTTTTTTGTTTTTATTTTGAGTATTAAGTTTGCATTTGAAATTTAAAATAAAAAAAATAAATAAATAAAAAATTTTGTGTGCATCGTGTATGACGTTATGATATTTGTATTCAGGATCAAACTCTATTTTTCATCATGTGTACGAGTCTGAGGTTCCATCGTAGTTCTCACTTTCTGTAGAGTTCTTGGTATACAGCTCGTCATGCATTTTCGCACAGCACACACTGTAGTCCTGTAGGTGGGTCTTGACCGCATGGGTGAGACTTGGGATGGTATTCTTCTGTGATTGGGGTTGTTTGTCCATTTGACTTGATCTATGACGAGTGTAACCTAATCAATATTGTCTTTCCCCATTTTCTATATTATTCTTTGAACTTATTTATGTCTTCGAGGCCTATTTGACTTAAATAATTAAGCCTTAGGGGTTTCTAACTTGATGCCCTATGGTCGTCTGGCTTGGGAGTTACCGGCCCAAAGTTCGTTACAAGGGTCATTTCTGTCGCCTAATGAAGATAGGATTGCACCCAAGTTCTTATGTTATTAAAAAAAAAAAATAA